AAAAAGCCAAATTTAATGGCTATCATCAAAAATTGGCATCAAAATCAAGTGTCTCCGCGTGAGTGGCTGCATCTTCTTGCAGAAGGAAAGTTAAAAGGCGTAGTATCTTATCATCTGATGTCTCTGTTCTATGCAGGCTGTTAAGATGCTACACAGCAGATGATTTGGTTAATTGATATATTTATCAGTGTTTTTAAAATTTCCTGTTGATTAATACAGACATTATAACTTGGGATGAATGAATGGAACTTAAGCCTAGTTGAAAATCAATAATAAACATATTTTCCATGTACTACTTTATAATCCTTTGACTGCCATACTTTAAAGACTATGGGCATAAACCTGGTAAAAGGCAAAAATGTACAAGACCATTTTTCAAAGGAATAGTAGCATTGTTTGGGAATTCTCTTATTCTTAAAACAATAACATACTCAGAACTCACTCAAATAAGTAGGTTTTTTTTTTTTTTTTTTTTTGGTTTTTCTCTGGTACCGGGAACCGAACTCACGACCTTGTGCTTGCCAGGCAGGCGCTTTGCCGCTGAGCTAAATCCCCAGCCCCAGTAGGTTATTTTGAAAATGCTTTCTCAGGAAAATATAAATAAAGTTCATTTTGGTTGTTCTTAACATAGAATGAAATTAAATGTAGAGATTTATTTTGTTTAATCTTCAAAATCTTATAAAGTTCATTTACAACTACTTTTTATGTAAGTGAAATTGACACAAGAATAAGGCTTTATATTAAAGAATATGAAAAATATAAACATGATGTTGATCATCATTCAATGATTAAAAAAAAGTTCTGTAGACTGGTAGTAAGATGTTTCCTGGTAATATTTGCACAGCCCCTCTAAATTTGTACATGAACTTTCATATATTGTCTTATTTTCACTTAGCTACAGTCTTGTGAGCTTAGCAAGAAAATTTTATTATTGTTTCCTTATATAAAGAATAAAAGAATACATAGATTTATAAAAGGTAGTTTTCTCTAATTAAAAATAATGAAAATCATAAAAATGTAAATACTATAGGATTATATAAGTTAGAGACCATTAAATGCTCCAGAGTCTACTCTCACACGTAAAGGTAACTATCCTTAGGTCAATGTTACATTAAATTATTCTAGTATATATATTTAAATATGGTTATTTTTTGCTTTTAAATACAATTTGGGTCATATTGTACATGTTGCATTTCATGATACTCCTTTCCTTGGAAACATATTACAGATATATTTTCATAGCAAGTCACACATTGATAAGATTATTATTCATTATGAGTCAAATAGTCCATACTGATAGACATTTAAATTGTTTCCACTGATGGGCTTTAAAAAACTGTATGTTAAATTCATATCTGAGTATTTCTTACCATATTTTTGAAAATATCTCCATGATAAGCTGTCTTTAAGATTACAAATGCATAAGTCTTTAGATTCTTAATTACGCATCATATATGAATGTCAACTTGATTACCATTCGGAAGCATTTCAGTGATTAAATTTTTACCAGTTGTATATGAAGTTGCCTGTTTCCTTCATACCCTCAAATACTAGAATCTCTTTTCTTCTTTCTTGCTTTTCTTCCTTCCTTCCTTCTTCTCTTCTTTTTTTCTTTTCTTCTTTCCTTCTTCCTTTCTTCCTCTCTCACTGTCCCTCATTTTACTTCAATAAACTGGTAAAATTATATGCTGTTGTTACAGTAATTCAATGTTCTCAAATTTGGATTGTATGTGATATAATTTCCAAATTTCAAGATGTGAAAACAAAGACATAGAAACTGTAAACCCTGTCCTATCTAAGTTGTTGCATTCATACTGTCACATGTGATTGGCAGCAGGGTGTTTCTTCTATGAAAAATGACCTGTGTGTTCTGGTTTGTACTTCTTCCTTAAAGAAAAGCATCGCAAGAACATGAAAATATATAATCTTTCTGAAGGTCACTTACATAAATCAGAATGGATAACCTTACTATTAATTATATATCAGGACCCTATCATCTTAGCTTTGCATGTTCCTGTATTATCTTACCATGTTGCATCTTTTCCATTTCATATTTCCCTCAAATTTTCTAATAGTCTCTGATCAAGGATACCTATAAATATTGACATTTTCCTCTCCTCATATTCCATACATGTTTCACTTTGACTGGTACCATTACCAGTTTCTTACATACGCCATCTATTATGTGACGATTGCACTGGTAGTGCTGAGACATTGACAACCTCTTATAAATTTCAGCCATACATTGCACTCATTTTCCTCTGGATAGCAATAAGCTAAGGTCTTCTTTAACCACACACGATTAGGCTTGCCTCACCATCCTCCTTACACTTGATATGCAATTTCAAAAAAGTATCTTAAATGCAATGTTTTATTTATTTGTATAAAAACAGTGCAAGTACTACAAAATACATAGAAAAATTGTGAACTTTAAGTCCATTCAAACATCTGAAGTATTTCCCACAGTAACTAGAATGCAGTAAGCATTCTATAAGTGACATCTATAATCCTTTATTGAAATGTATGCATTTACCACATGTAACCGAGGAAAAAATAATGTACTACTATTCCTTTCACTATATTTAAGGTAATGTCTTCTTCTCAATTACAAGATCCTGAAGTGTGGGAACAATTATTTAATCTTCTTTGCACTCATGAAGTAATAAAATACAAGTCATAGAGTAAATAAATAGTCTCTATTTACTGAATAAATAAATAGTGTGAACAACCAAAGAGTTCATTTATGCTGTTGATCCTGTGTACTGCGTATGAAGTCACTGTGCAGAGCAGAACTAATTGGGCAGATGGATTTCCATTAGTCTGCGGAAGCCAGGCATTAACACTTGCACCCAGGGTTATCACATAAATAGACATACACCTGCTTAATTAGAGGTGTTGGGAATAACCTATTTTTCCAATAAAATGACCTCCTAACAGAACATAATAATATTTGATGAAAGATATAGTAAGGAAGGTTTTATTCAGACAAAAAGGGGAAAAGATTGCTAGGTGATAAGGAAACTGAAAGCACATCCTCTTATTAACATTGCATTTTGAAAATGACACGGAAAGAAGCACCAGTGTATGTAAAGGGGAGGTGGTGTTTGGGTGTGTTTGTTTGTTTATTTTGCAATTCTGGCTTCTGAATCTAAGGCCTTCACATTGAGCTATATGCCCAGCTCTTCTTCTCCTTTTATGCAGAGATAGGGTCTTGCCAAATCGTAAATTTGCCCAGGTTGTGTGAACTTCTGATTCTTCTGGCTCACACTCCCAGAGTGTTGTGATTCCAGGCATTCGCCACCACAACTGACTGACACGAATGAATGTATATATGTATGTATGCATGTATGTATGTATGTATTTTGATCACAAAGAATGAGAATAGAGACAATTTATTTTTAACCCAGAAAAGGCATCCGCAGATGACTAAAGTCTTCATATTTGAACTTTAGGAATGTATGCAAAATATGTGTGCATGTGTGTGCATATGTGTGTGTGTGTGTGTGCGAGCATGCATGTGTGTGTGTGCATACTAGGGAACAATTTTCCACCTTAAAGAATATTTTAATGTGTCTTTATCACCATTTCCAACAGAGTTTTGAGATAATGCAGATGTTCCAAATCAGCTTTCTTCACAGTAGCATCCTTACCCAGATGAAGCTACTGAGCTCTTAAAATGTTGTAATGCAATTCAGGAAATTAATTTTAATTGTACCAAATTTTTATTCACCTTTGGGCCTATATAAAAGGCCACAATCATCTCTCACAAGTTAGCTGAAGTATGGCACAATTTTCATTTATCAATAGAATTTTCAAGATTTTTTCCTTGCTGCCATTTTTCTGATCACCCTCTCTATTCATCAGTAATATTAAATATCTGTTTCAGTACTTCTCTGTCGGTAACCAGCTTATTTGACTCTCAACTTCTGGGGCTCTATTATAAACTCAAGGGAATTTTATTATGAAGAAGGGAGGCTTCTTAAAAGATGCTCACATTCAAAAGTACACCCATGAAATAAGTATAACAAAAGTAAAATTAATATTTGTCAATTTAATACAAATTTTAATGCCATATGGTTTAACAGAGGCAACATCATTCTAACGAGAAAAATATCATTCTTGGTGAATCTCTTGTTAATAATGTTTTGATATTTTCCATGCCATATACTATATTTAAAAATGTTTTCCTTTAAATTAGTAAAATAATACAATTTTAAAATTTTACTCTGTTATTTAATGTTAAGAGATCCTGCAATAGAAACTATTTTTTTTATGTCTTCTTGAGACGGGGTCTCTCTATGCAGTTCAGGCTGGCCTTGAGCTCTCTTTGTAGACCAGGCTGGCTTCAAACTCACAATGATCCTCCTGCCTCAGCCTCCCAAGTGCCAGGATTACAGGCATGGCTTGTAAACTATTATATTTGACTTCAAAGACCTATTACAAAATATGGGAAAAGTCTACACTTTAAGGAAAGAGGGGCTTTTAAATTTGTAACATGAACCCCTGTGTTTATTTCCACACACTACAACTTGTTGTCCCCTAACATGGTCGAAAGGAAGTGGTTCTTTTTCAAGCCTCTTTTATAAGGCTCATCCGATCGTGATCAGAGGAGTTAATCACTTCCTAAGGTCTGTACCTCTCAATGCCTTCACATTGAATAGTAAGTCCCTACATATGAATTCGGGGTGGACACTAACACGGAGACCATAGCAGCTGTAAATGGGAAACAACTTAGTACAAGGACCCAAAGAAAAAGAATTAATTTTCATTCATAAAATTAGGGGAGAGGAAACATTAACTGTCTCATTAAACCAGTTAAAAACTATTGAAACAAAATCACCCTGCTTATATCAAAATAAGGTTTAGTTTACGTACCCATGACTCCAAAATTATTCACTGTTATTTCAGAGCAAAAGTATTGTCTATATTAAAAGCTAGCCACAGATTAAAACTTTAAATGTTGTATTTCCCTAATTCTATAATTGTGTATTGTTTTATAGGTACAAAAAATTCTCTGTAAAGCACACTATACATGGCAATTGACACCTTTCTTATGGCCCCACACAGTGGACAAATCACACTAACAGGAACGGGCTGATCTTCCCAGAGGAGTCATTTCACAGGGCCGTCTGGAGCCATCCTACTTCTAATCTATTCCGAAAGTCACAGATCTCACCATGGCTGAGTTTCTGAAGGTCATTGATCTACTTTATGTTTCCTGTGATGTACAGCTTCATCTAGCTTGGAGGTGAAAGATATAGTTAAGAAGGCAAAGTGAAGAAAAGAATTTGGCCATGCAGCACTTTCAGCTCAAAGGGATATTAATGATCCTAATGGATTCAAGAGGAAAAGAAAATGCTTCCAACCTCTTTATAAGGCCAAGGAATTGCTAACACACAGTGTTTGAAAGCATAAAAACATGTCTCTGTAATGGTCTGTTAGTACAATATTTGTATGTTATTATATCCCTAACAAATATTTTCAGGTAAACTTATAGTTAGGGAAATTACAGTATATACACAGGGGTATGTGTGTGTGTGTGTGTGTGTGTGTGTGTGTGGTGTGTCTCCAAGTGTGTTTTTTAATTCTTTTTTCAACATTCAATCCAGAGTTCCTACCTGATTGTTTTATAGCCCTTGACAGTGACCTCACTACCTTTGAAGTCTTCTTAGCATAATCTACTTGGGAACCGTTCAGGGTTTTGGAAAGTTCTGTTTGCTATTGAACTGAAACATTTTGCATTTCCACTTGTAAATGTCAGTCTTGGTTCTCTTCTCTGGGAACAGATGAAACAGGTCTCAAATCTGTTTTCTATATAAATGGGCCTTTTCTAAATCCTTTAAACTTTTGGTGTTTGCAAGCATGTACCTTTCCACAACGCCTCCCAAGCCAAGGACAATTTTTAAAAGTCTACAAAAGTCATGGTTTTTAATTTTCTCTATATATCTTTTCTACGTCTAGACTTTCTTCTGCTCCAGGAAGACAAAATGTGAATAATGTTGTTGGGGGTGGAAATAGAAAATATCATTCTGCTCCTCCCTGTTTTCACAAAGCAAGTATGCACTCCCCTTTCTTCCCCTTCGGACAGGAGAGAGGTACTAATAAATTCATCTCTCTCCCTTTGAGAGGAATTCCACCAGGCTCTTGCAATAGGGGTCAATAATATTGCATGGAGAGATAGAGATTTGATTTGATTACAGTGGAACAAAGGGTCAAGAACTTTTAGACACTGGAGTGGCCTAAATGGAAAAGCAGCTGGGACATGGGGAGAATTGGTCAATACGACTATACCACCCATGTTTGCCAATTGTAACTTCTCAAAGTTAGGCTGTTACCTACCCCAAAATACACACTAGGAAATAGGGACTCTATCTTTCTTAAAAATTTAATTTCAAATAAATGGGTCCCAGGTCTTTGAGAGGACAATCTAGGATTGCAAATCTGACAGAAAGACAGATTTAGATCCCAAAAAGGCAAAAAGAGAATTTAAAATCCCAGTTTCCTAAAGGTTCCAGAGGAAACTGTTTAGGAAAGAAATCTGTTTAGGAATTTAGTCAACCTGAAGGGAATATTAGGCTGGCATGCTCAGCCTAATGCTGCAAAAGTGTCTCTCATTTGACATGTTGCATGGGGCAGAGCCATGTTGACAAGGCACAAATTGGTGCTCTCTTGCTCCCTTGCATTTGCCCTGATACCAAAGATGGTTCTTATAATCTAAGCATTATCCAGGACTTCAGCATGTGGAATAAATGTGTAGCAATAATTCTCTTAAAAAGTCATACTTTTGGACCAGGGATAGAGCTCAGCTGCTCAAGCACCTACCAGGAAAGTGCAAGGTCCTGAGTTCAATTCCCAGGACCAAAAAAAAAGTCATACTTTTTTTCAGGTAAGCAAAATCATCTTCATTTTGTAGAAGGAGGAGGAAGCTCTTCATCACTAACATCTTTGTGTTGCCATCTGTTTTACCCAAGATCACCCTACTTTGGCAGATCCAGGAACTCACCTAAGAAGAGATAATACCTTCCACACCTTCCTATTATTATTCTATGGCTTTTATTCTTTTTTAGCACCCAGAGAGTTTGGGAAAGAATCATTGCAACCTTAACACTGATCAAATGGAACAGAAAAAGTAGAAACTGCAGGAGTTAAATATTTGAAGAAGATGGATCTGAAATTATCAATGATTGAGAAAAAAACTACTGACCAAAGAAAGGAAGTTCCTCATGGACACTGGAATACGCACCCCAGAATATGTGAGAGACAGGTCATAACACAAAAACAAATAAGGAGTTAGGCTCAGGAAACACAACAAATTTACTAAATGGGAAAAAAAATAAATATGAGAGAAAACACCTGTCCCAAACAGGATCAAAACAGGTCCAAACTTACCCATGATAAGCCAGTATTTTGCTGAAAGAAAGTTACAGGTTTATGTCTCAGAAACTGAGCTCATTTAGCTGCTACAGGGCAAGGAAACTGAAAATCTAAGTGGAAATCAGGGTAAACTGAATAATTGCTTGACTTTGGCAAAACTTGTTTCACATCCTGTAGATGACCTCCCTGTACTTTTCTTGTTCCTATATGAGCCAATCAATTTGAAGCACAAAGCAAAGAGTTGTGAGACCATACTAAGTGCATAACTGAGCTTTCATCAAAAAAAACATTCCCCATGGGGCTGGGGATTTAGCTCAGCGGCACAGCGCCTTCCTGGCAAGCGCAAGGTCATGAGTTCGATTCCCGGTACAGGAAAACAAAACAAAACAAACAAACAAAAAAAGTCCCCTTTTTTGGAGAGAGTGGGGATTAATCTATATGGATACAGTCTGACAAAATAATCATTGCACATTGCCGCAAACAATCTTTTAGCTAACTGCTATTATATAAATGCTATTAAGTGTGAAAAATCTATATTTCATCCAAAAGTATCATAATGTTGGAAAGAGCCACAGAATAAATCTAAAATACAGAAATTATTTTAGATATGAATAAAATGTCCAGTTGATGGAATTGTGCATGTGGCCCAGCTGTTCAAAAGTCCCAATAGAAGTAACATGCACAGTAAGAACTTTGATGCTTGCTTAATGGAAGTAACATTTCTCTATTGTAGTTTAAGAGAGCAAATCAGAGGTCTATAGTGGAAACAGCAAAAGAAATAGAAAGATAAACCTGTGGATCTCTAAAGCATCTGTTTTTTACTTTATACTCATTAAACCAAAGATGGGTAGTCATAATTTACTGGAGTACCCATTTTTTTTTCCATAAGAAAGTTCAAAATCAGTATAACACCTATGCTTGGGTAGAAAATGTTCTGATCAAAACCAAACAAAAATGGAAAAGTAAGGAATAGATTAACATTGGAGATGTGCATCACAAGTCACTGTAAAATCAATCTAAATTATTCAAACATCAGAACACAATTTTCAATTCAAAACTATTTGATATAAGTAACTGAGATACCACTGTGCCCCTAATATAAAATTTTGAGCATATTTGTATATCTTTGTGACTCTTTTCCAACTCCTTTGCATATATATAATACATTTGAATTAATATTTAAATAATGCATGCTTGTCTGAAGTAACTTACCTGTCAAAGGCATGACACAGAGAATAAAAATTATTTATCTTGGGATTCCAGTCTTGGATTGATTTATATGATAAAATTTAATGAAAATTGCATCAAATACTGAGTCTGAAAATTCAGGTACAAGTTACAGGTGTTTTACTTTTCCTTTGATGAAGGCTAAAGTGGAAATATCTATTAAGTTTCTCCTTTAGAGTTTTTCTAATAACTGCTATGAATGCTTTATAAATACCATATATTTTTACTGAAACATTAATTAGCCACACACTATCATCAACATTCAGTACTCTAAACTGGGAAAATATGCTAAAATATAATCTTTCCGCTAAGGAAACTTAAATTTACTCTTGGGAAAAGATACCTAAAGGTACAGTTATAGCTGATTTGTAATCTGCGTGCAATTTTAAGGGTCTAGATAATTTCCTGAACGTGATGTTTACATTTCAGGACAACATACATGAAGATATTAACCAGGCAAAAAGTGATGTGGATGATATGAGGAAGGGTCAGAAAGGGAGAGGGTTATCCAGAGTTGAGCTAAAAAGGGAAAAGAGCTGCTATGCCAGCTAAGGAGTTGACATCTGACTCTGACTGGAAGGAGGCACTGAAGTATTACTAGATGTGGTTTAAACTGTTTCACATTTTCAAAAAGTTTATCTGGTTGCATTAAATGTAACAGTGAAATGCAGACAAGGACACTTGTAGAAAATTGGTAGGCTAATTTAGCAAAATGATATTGCTAAATTAGAGACAGATGAAGAGAAAATTTTGAAAATGACTAAGGTTAAAAAAATGACTGCACCCTGAGGTTACTCAACTGTGAATTAGAGAGAAAGGAAATTGTCAGCGATAACTGTGAGCTGTGCTTTTCCAGAAGACAGGGGATCATGGTGAGCATAAAAATGTAGACAATGTAAGAAATACATTTACTGGGAGCATTAGACTGTTCCAATAGAAGTTTGCAGTAGTTACTGCAAAGGAAAATGAACTTAGGAGGTCCTCAGGCAGAAGTAAATCATCAAGGAAGAGTTAGTAGAGAAAAAGCACTTGTGAGGAAACCATGGGAAACAAAGATATTTAGAAGCAGGCTGTGGAAAAATTAAGAAGTTGTCAAATGTTTCCTCTCAGTAATGAGAGTGCGCATTGACTAGGAACATACAAATGATGTGGAAGTTGCATTCCCAACGTCATTTGTTACCAGCATTCCTTGTGTGAGTTTTTATCTTTTGATTGTGTGACATGGTCAAGAGGACCAGAAAATTGGCCTAAGAAAACACAGTGCAACAGTGCATCATACTTTTAGGATTGTGCCCTTGTGACAAAAGAGTAAATGTTTTGTGGGTTAAGAATCGAGATAAGAAGGTGGTTGGTATAGCAACCATGAACATTTGGTGGGATAGAAAAGCAGGTGCTTGGAGAATTGGTCACCCAGGTTTGGATCAAATGGCACAACAGGAAACTGGACCTCTGGATGGGATACATGGATACAGACAGTAGAAAAATGTAGACCATGCTGAGACACCTGTACACTTTTATGAGTGTTATGAGGTGTGACTAAAAAAGCCTGAAACAGATATGCTTGAAAGTGAATATATAATAGGGTTGGTATTTCCCCTATTCATGAATGCATTCATTCTGTGTAACACTAGTTATATGGTCTGTTATTAAATGGTGTTAAAATAAATGTAATACATATATACATTCATAACCATATTGAACTTATTTAAAAGATCTTTCTTGGTACTGATTTTTTAGTCCTTCAACTTTTGTATGAGGCAATAATATTCATTTTACCTGAGTATGTTAATGATAATGCCTCATGGAGCTCCTTTTAA